TCTTCCTCACAATACACATTTCCATTTAGCTTTATCTCGTATGGAGTTATTACATTTTCTCAAGCACTTTCACTGCTACTGATTGTAAGATTAACAGCTCTGTAACATGTTTTCTCTCTTGCTCCCTTAATGGAGTGCCATTTGTTGCCTTCCAATCTGCAGAGATCATTCCTGCATCTGTAGTGTTTTGGAGGGTAATCACCAATGCATTGACTATCTATGGCCATCTCCTTCAACACAGTGGAACTGGGCGTAGACACAGTGATCATTTAGTTTCTCTGCCATTTCTCTCTCCCTCATTATGAATTTCCCAGACTGCCTGTAATGGGCCCACATTCATTTTAGCCAAACTTTTTCCTTTTTACATTCCTGTGGAAGCTTTCCAGTTTGTTTTTGTGTTTTTACTAGATTGTATTCTTATTCTAAGCTCCCTTGTCAGCTTCATGGTCTTCCTTTGTTGTAATCTAAACCTCCCAAATCTCAGGATTGCTAATATTTTATTGCAACTTTCTTGGCATTGTGCTTTGTATCTTATGCAATATTGCACCTCCTTTTGTTAGCCACGGTTGACTGACCTTTTGAGCTTTTGCACCTTGAACAAATTTGCATCTGTAAGTCATGCAACAGTTCTTCAGAGATTACCCACTGCCTGTGGACAACTATGTACTTTCCCAGTCCTCCACAGCCAATTTTTGTGCCTTATGTCTTCAAATTTACAATATTCAAATTTAACTCATTCGAGTTCAGAATGAACTCCCTTACTCTGTTATAACGTAAAATGCTGTCGCACTGTGACCACTCATTCCTAATTTTTTTAACAACGAAATTGCTGATGAGCCCTTTTTCATTACATAATACTAAATTTAAAGTAGCATGTCCTGTAGTTGGCTCCTCAACGTACTGTTCTAGAAAGCCATCTCTAACACAGTCCTCCATAGCTCTAATGCTAAATTGGTTTACTTAATCTATATGCAGATTGAAGCCATCCATGGTAACTGTGTTGCCCATGCTACATACCTCTCTCATATCCTGATTAAAACCATGCCCCACACTGCCAACTACTGTTAGTGGCCTATGAATAACTCCGATCAATGTTTGCAGCTCTTTTTTTTTCTTGGTTCTACTCTCAGATTCTGCACATTGCTCTTACAATCTGAGATCCTCCCTTCTGATCCCAGCCCTTATTGTTAGCACAACACCACCTCCTTTTTCCTCCTGGTCTGTCCTTCCTGAATGTCAAAAAGCCTTGAATTTTCAGTTTCCAGTCCTGGTTACCATACAACTTTGATTCTGTGATGGCAGTTAGATCATACCCATATCTATCTTTGAGAGATTTCTTCAGAGATTTCTTGTGAATGCTGCATTTTTTTCAGGTTTAGTGTCTTTCTTGTCTTTTCAACGTCTTTCTGCTTTTGAAGCATGCACAGTGCTTGGCTGTTTCTCCTGTCTTCTAATCTCTGTAGCACCTTTTTATTTCCTTCCTTCCGATCTGCTAACCCCTCTGGTTCCCATCCCACGACAAGCTGGCTTATATCTACCCCAGCAGCCGTAGCAAATCTCCTTGTGGGGATATCTGTCCCAGTCACGTTAAGATGTAACCTGTCTTGCTCACGCAGATGCCACGTGCCTCAGAAATCTCATTCCTGCACTCCTATGCCAGTTCTCCAGCCTTGTACTAAATTTGTCAGTGTGCTCGCACATGGCCCTAAGTGATCCTGGGATTGCTGCTGTTGAAGTCTCTGCTTCTAAGTTTCCTGAATAATTCCCTGAAATCTGCCTTTGGGACCTTGTGCCTCTCATGTCATTGGTACCAATGTGGAACACAACTTCTGGCTGATCTTTCCCCCTCTCCTAGGAGGATGTTCAGCATCTGCTCTTGTGGTATCCTTGACTCTGGCACCAGGGAGGTAGTGCATCATCCTGGAGGCATGTTTCAGACATGCCTGTCTGACCGTGATTTCTGTAGATGATTTTCTGCCTTGTGTAGTGACTCATATTATCTCCTCTGTCACTACCCTCATAGACAGTGGATTCCAGGTCATTGTCACTCAATGCATTTTTAAGGAGAATATCCTTTTTTTTTTCTTTCCTGAATCTCTTGCCCATAACGTGTAAAATTGCGTCCTGTACTCCATTGTCCCAACAACAACAACTTTTGTCCTTGGTGCAACTTAGTGATTTTGTTACGGGTGGATTTAAGGAGGTCCTAGGGCTTGGGTTGGTCATGGTTTGATCCGTTTTCCTTTTGTGCAATTAGACGATGGATCTCCGGCGATGGTGCTGACTCGTGGTTAGTTTTGCTGGCTTTGCAGTCAGTTGTTGATTCTTTTTGCTGTGCAAATCCACGCAAAACTGACTGTGTTTTGGCCATTACAACAAGCCCACCGATACCTGCATGGGTGAGCATTGATCTAATTCTGAACAGCATCAGGAATGCAGTCTATTTGTTACATTTCGGAAGACTGGGACTAGAGGACAGGACTAAGCAACAGGGTAGATTGTGATGTACACCAAGGCAAGGAATGTCTGATCTAGTCCCCTGGCAACCTGTCTGTGCAGTAAAATATTAAGATGCCCCTAGAAGGGTTAGTGTGTGAACAGTTTGGGCAACTGATTTTAATTCTTTCTCAGTTCGTGAATGGACCAGAGTTGGACAGGTGGCCGAATCTAGTATATACCTTTTGCCAATGCATATTGACCTCTGAAGACACTGAAACAGAATTAATAGGTATGGCCTGAACTGGTGATGCTGGTATGGTCAAGGTTCTGTTGGCAATTTTCTAGTAACTTAATTGCCTCACTGTGTTAAAATATTTCACGTACGCACTTGCTAACATCTGTCAGGTGCAAGGCTGCATTCCTCTCTTGTGTTAATGTCTAACTGAGATAGACTCTGTCCCACTGGCTATCGCCACTAGTTCAGATTGATCATTGGTTGGGAGCTCATTGGGCTACCCCTTTTTAGATCCTATGGCCTGGTTGAAGTTCTGTACAGTGAGCTGTGAAACCAAGGAGAGGTGTGTGCAGCTGTCAAGAGGCTGGGATGCAGTTCCCCATCCCCCCCACCCCCTCCCTGTTTTGTCTAGGTTGGGATGGGCAGCAGTATTTACGTTTTATTTGATATTGCACTTGTCCCGGCCTATACAGATCAAGAGGCAAGGATGTCATGTGGGGTTTGGATACTTTAACTGTTACAGATACTGTTCAGAGTGCTCATCGACTGAGTGTTGTTGTAATTAATGGGTGTTCTCTTTTCCCTGCTTACTCCCTTTTGTGTGTCCTGTTACATATTCCCCATTTATCTGTCTGTCCATCTTTGCCCCTCTTTTCCTTGTTAAGACTGGCCAGTGTTGAGAGGCGGAGACTGGAGCAATTGCTGGGTTTCCCATGAAGCATTGCACTTGTCTCGGTCCGACAGTGCTGGTATAACACCACTGCTCGTTTGTTTGCTGACCGCTGCTCAGTTGCACCCCTTCGTTGCCATTATCTCAAGCGAGTAGACGGTCCCACCCAAATGTTGTGCCATACAGGTCACCTGAAGTTCCATTCCAGGCTGAGATTGGGTAAATCTCATGGCCGTAGTGGGGAGGATGGCACAAAGGGTAACTGGTAAACTGTTGTGCATGCTGTCCACCAGAAATATATCCAGTCTTGTCATTTAGCACCCTTGCTGGGTAACGATATGATCATAGTCAAATCATTTAAGGATTGTTGGAAACTTTTTCCAATGGTTGAGAAGCTGCCCATGTTTATACACTGCATGCAGGATGAGTAGGAGGCATGGATATCTAATTCCTCTGGGGGGCCGGGGTGGGAAAGAGGGGGATGGAAGGAGGAATTCGGTTACTCTTTGTTGCCTCCACCAAATTTAAACAATGGGAGATTCCAGAAAAGCAGGCAGCCAGGGTGGAGTCTGTCCATTTCTGCCATTCTGGCCATGTTAGTTTATGGTGAAATGTTGAAGGGCACCTTTATTGCACCAATTGTGTAGGTGAACTGCTAGTTACTATGATCAATGTGTGCATCTTCCAGGCTTTGTGCAAGATGATTTGTCTCTCCATTTGGATTCTGGACCAGACTCATCCACACTCAGAGATACAGTGACAGTGGTCATGCCTTACTGCTTGTTTGTTTTAATTTGATTAATGAAAGGGTATTGCACGCTTTAGTAAATGTTAATCTTCCTAACCTTGTTGGCATCTGTTGCTGCTGCTTTCCCTGTTGCATTCTGTACCTGGTTTTGTCCTAAAATGTGCTGTTACACTTTTGGAAGGAAGACCATTAAACATTTGATTACTGGACAAATGGTGTGTGTGCTTTTGTGTTGAAAAGTCAAGAGTTGAACGTGTAAAAACTAAGATGCCTTTCCTGACTCGTGTAATGAGATTCTTGTGGAGATTGGTTGAATGAGCAGGATATTAGAGATACAGCAGTATACTATACACATAGGTTCTAATAGTGCTGGGGAAGAACTCTTCCCAGTTCATTTGAATGTAAGAGCAGTAGGACTGTGCTACTGGCCTTAGACTGCTGCACATGGCTGAACTGCACTTTGTTGCTGTATTATGCACCTTCCAGCTAGTTCTGCTTTCCACAATAATTTATATGTGTGTTACATATCTATATCTATCCCAGGTCATTCCCCTGCAACACTTTTAGAATCCATAGCCTTTCTATTGTCCCTGCATCATTTTACATTTTTCGTCATTAAATTTCGTCTGCCATTTGGCTTCCTATTCCAGCAAATGTGGTGTTTTATATTTAGTACCATCTTCTGAGTTCACAACTCTTCCAGGTTTTGTTACCCATGTATTTTGTAATTATCTCTGCATCTCAATCCTCTAACTGTCATTGTCTGGGTCTGTGTCTGTCAGTTCACTTCTCCCACCTACCCCTGCTGTCTTCAGCATATATAACATTTTCCTAGCTGCTATCAGTTCTGAAAGAGGGTCACTGGGCTGAAACATTTAACTCTGCTCTCTCTCTCTATCTCTCCACAGATGCTGCCAGACCTATTAAGTTTCGCCAGCAATTCGTCTTTGTTCCAGATTTCTAGCATTTGCAGTTCTTTGTTTTATTTGACCTGAACATGATGTTGCCTCTGAAATCTGTCAGATGTGTACTTTTTTTTAAAAACACAAAGTTACCCATATCCACCCTCTATACCTTTTTACCAATTATCTTAAATCTCTGTATCACTTGCTAATCAAAACAATTTCTCTCTATTGACTTTATCTGGGCACTTCATAATTTTGACCATCTCACTTAATTCTCCTCATTCTCATTGTAAGAATTAAATTCACAGATTTTCATGACTGTTCACAATACTGTAGCTCCTCATTCCAGCTACTGTTCTAATTAACCTCTTCTGTAGCCTCTCTTGTACCTCCTTAAACAGTGAAGTTTAATATTAGCACTAAAAATCTGCCCAATAGAGTTTAACTCTGGTCAAGCCAGTGTGAAATAAACATAGTATGAGTTCCATGCTTGTGTTCTATAAAGGTCTCTTAAAAACCAGAAGGGAAATAGGTGGGTTTGGGTGGAGTGAGGGATTAAAACCTGAGTAAGACTTGCTGATCCAAACTTGCCCATTTCTGGCTTGAATTGAAATTGCAAGGTGCATGGTCAGCTAACCTGTTTGGAGGCGGCATGGTGGCTCAGTGGTTAGCACTGCTGCCTCACAGCACCAGAAACCCGGGTTCGATTCCACCCTTGGGTAACTGTGCAAACTCCACACAGACATTCTCCCCGTGTTTGCGTGGGTTTCCTCTGGGTCCTCGGGCTTCGTCCCACAGTCCAAAGATGTGCAGGCTAGGTGGACTGGCCGTGCTAAATTTCCCATAGTGTTCAGGGATGTGTAGATTTGGTGGATTATACGGAAATGGGTCTGGGTGGAATGCTCTGAGGGTCAGTGTGAACTTGTTGGGCCAAAGGGCCTATTTCCACACTGTAGGGATTCTATGAAATATGACAAAGCTGAAAACATGTTGTCACTAAAGTTTTTCAGATCTTAGTTGCTGTTGGCTGAATTTCAAGTCTGTTGGGAGTCCCTACTGCTTGGTGGATTTAGGTGCATTCGCCTGCTATGTACTTCCTGCATTGAGATACCTACTGGAGAAACCTCTGGGCTCTCCTGACGCCCCATAATATCCATCTCCGAGTTTTCTCAAGACTTATTGAATCCAGGCTTTGTTCTGTTTCCCCTCCCACCACCTCTTTGAGGTGTCTGCCTCCCTGGTTTCCCTCAGATTTGCAGTCTCCACTCCTCTAAGATCACAAACCCCCCAAACAGGTTTCTGCCCTGCCCTGAGGCTCCCTATCCTATAGTCACTGACTTCAACCACCACCACCCCCCCCCACACAAAGAAAAAAACTACCATGTGATTGGCAGCCCTTCTGACTTGTCTCCTTCCTCCCCCAACACCTTTTGGAAAGTTATCTTGCATTTTTTTTTTGTAATTTTGATTGAGGGCAGTAATGGGAGAAGGACCTAACAAGCACAGATACTGCAGGAGAAATTCAGATCTGGCAGCATCTATGGAAAGAGAAACAGCATTAATACTTTGTGTTCAGGATGAGTTCTTCAGAATTGGCATGCACAGATACTGTCAAACCTGCTGAGTTTCTCCAGTATTTTGTTTGACAGTATCTGCATAATTTTGCTTTCATTAAAGGACTTCTTAAAACCAAGGGTTGTGGGAGGGATTAATGCTATTTTAAAAACAAATTACTGAAACTCATGGTAAGTATAGTTTGCTGTGTTTGTTTTTCAAGCAGTAGGATAGGGATGGTTCCAGACACCGACAAGTGACACCAGGGACTGCATACAAAGTGAAATTTGGCCAGCAACAAGTAACTGATTGGTTTGCCATGTTGTGACCAACTATGGATGACAAAGACCACCTGCCTGTCAGCAATTATGTAGTTGGCTTCTGAGCAGCTGTACAGCTTGTACGTGCTAATGATATTGCCAGCCACATTTTTTGACCTCCAGAAGGGGAAATGGTGAGACACTCAGCAGTAGAAAATACATGAACCTTGAAGAAAGCCAGTTTATTTTCCCACGCTGGTTGCTCAAAGTTGTTGCCTTTAACCAATAAGTCAGATCTCTCTATAATTTGTAAACCATGTCTCCTGCAAGGAAGAGTACCTGGAAAAGAGACTGAAGACCAGAAAGTCCTGGCAAGCAAAAGGATCATTTCAGAAAACCCTGTGAAACGGGCCACAGAACTGCCTTACCAGTTTTTCCTTCCACCCAAAGCACCAATTTTTTTTTTTGGAGGCGGGGTGGTTGGTCTGTATTTGAATATGAGAGACTTTGGAGGTGGGTGTAAATGAGTTATAGTTTTAACTAGTAGACATGTATGTCATCTATATATTAGTTTATCTGTAGCTAAAATGTAATTTTGTGATGAATTATAATTGTAATTGAAAACTAGTTCCCGTTTCCATTAACCTGGGTATACGAAGGTGAGGTAAATTGGGCGATTTTGCATACTTGGATTAAAATCTTTAACTTTGAGATGACTGAGAATAGCAGGGCTTGATTTCTACTGGGGCACAAAACCTACAGTGTGTGTCTTGAGTTATGACCAACACACAGTGGCACAGGTGAGTGAAAATGCCCCAGCTCAATATATGAAGCCGAGCATCCAGTACATCAGGAACTGCTGAGGCTTCTTTACATGACTACACCAACAAGAAGTTGCCTTCAATGATTTGACCAAACTGTCCCATATGACTGGGGTAAGTTGTACTGAATCTGCAGTGTGAAAATCACAGAAACTGCTTTTTAAAATCCTTCTTCCTTTGATCTGCTCCTGACGGCACAAGACAGACACAACCTGGGCTATCGTGCAACAACTGATCTGTCTATTCAGTGAAAACCTTTTTTCTCCACTACAACATACAGACAGAAAATGAAAAAAAAACTCAAATGTAGCAGCGTTTATACCCTGAGGGTGTTCTGTACAACCCGTGTAGTGCCTTTTATAGGAGTAACGTGTTTTAAATGTAACAAACAGCAGCTGATTCACCCAAGAGCTCACAAACAGCACTGAAGTTGACGAACAGTTGATCAGTTTTACTGAAAGTAAAATGCTGAGGTTTGGAAATGAAATCATAAAAAGCTGAAAAAACAGGTTTAGCAGCACCTGTGGATTGTTGTTTCAAGTCCAGTAGAATTTCAGAACTGGAGGGTGCTGGTGATTTGGTTTTACCTTGTTGAAAATGGAGGGAGAAACAAGCATGATGAAGGGAAGGTCAGGGAAAGGTTGGGAGGTGAGATTGTTGTGGAACAGAAATCGTAAGGAATGGTTACGGAGAAGGGACAAAACGCTGATTTGATTTTAAAGTAGGTGTTAGTAGAAGAAAGCAAAGATGTAAAAACAAGGTATGGGAATGGGAGCAGAGAAATCAAAATGTAGGATAGAATTTACCATCTGAATGTGTTGAACTATCGAGTCCAGAAGGCTGAAAAATGCTCAGTTGCAAAATGAAGCCTTGTTCTTCCAGAGATAGTAGGAACTGCAGATGCTGGAGAATCTGAGATAACAAGGTGTAGAGCAGGATGAACACAGCAGGCCAAGCAGCATCAGAGGAGCAGGAAGGCTGACGTTTCAGGCCTAGATCCTTCTTCAGAAGGGGTCTAGGCCAGAAATGTCAGCCTTCTGCTCCTCTGATGCTGCGTGGCCAGCTGTGTTCATCCAGCTCTACACCTTGTTCTTTCAGCGTGTGTTGGGTTTCACTGGACCACCACAGTAGGTCCACAGAACAGAAATGAGCTTGAGCAAGATGATGAAAGGGTGAGTGAACAGAAGCTTGAGTCATGCTTGCCGATCGAGCTGAGCTGTTCTGCAAAGCGTTCTGCATTTGTTTGCCTCAGCGTGAGCAACAGATACAGTAGACTAGATTGCAAGTACGTGTAAATTGCTGCTTCACCTGGAAGGAGTGTTTGGGACCTTGGTGTTGTAATTGTTTTATTCATGTGGGCTGGGAAAACTGGAGAATGCATATGTTCTTTCCATACAATCCCTACAGTGTGGAAACAGGTCCTACAGCCCAACAAATCCACACGGGACTCTTGGCGCCTCCTGCCCAGACCCATTCCCCAAACCCACCTAATCTACACATCTCTGAACACCATGGGATAATTTAGCGTGGCCAATCCACCTAACCTGCACATCTTTTGGACTGTGGGAGGAGACTGGAGCACCCAGAGAGAAAACACAGTTGCCCGAGGGGGAATCGAACCTGCGTCTCTAGTGCTGTGAGGCAGCAGTACTAACCACTATGCTGCCTATGTGTGGGTGTGGGATCATTTACATCTACCTCCAAAGGCCTTTCAGGATGCTGATAATATTACATTATTGCTTATTCTCAAGATGTCAACCTGTGAAGTAGGAGGCCATATATTTTCTTTCGTTTGCCATTAATAAACTCTGCTGCATTTTAAATTAGCCATGTCTTGCCACTCTCTAGAGGAGGATCTTTGTTCTTGTTCATTAAAGTAACCCTCCTTATTAACCACTAGGGATGTCCATGTGTTATTCCTGCAGCTTCCAAACTGATGGGTCCCTGGCTCATCATTAACTTGCATGTATGTTCAGTTCTAATGAAAGGTCATTAGCCTAAAACATTACCTGTACTTCTGTCTCACCAGAAACTGCCAGACCTGCTGAACATTTCCAGAACTTTATGCTTGTGTTACAGATTTCCAGCGTCCACAGTGCACTGTATTTGTGTTTTTTCCAGCTGTTCTAAGCTAGGCAAGAGTCGAAGCACATTCCAGGGGACGTGAATCAGACTAAAAAATTGACACCATGTAAGGGAATATAATGTTAACAGATGACCAAACAGTTCTGTCATAGGGGTAAGTGTTAATGAAAAATAAGGGAGGACTAAGAGGCAGAGAGGGCATTCCTAGTCCTTTGAAGCTCGGTTGGTGAAAGCATGTCTATCAATTGTGGAGAACCTTGGACAATGCACAGAGCTAGAGGAATACAGAGATGCTGTAGTGAGTGCAGCATCAGAGATTGTCGTGGTTTCTCTCCACAGTGCACTCAGAACCACTCCCCAATCATTATCTCCCTTTTACACAGGTGTAGGCCAGTGACTCTATCCTGCCTGTTTTGCTCTTGGACGGACAAAGAGATAAAAACAATGAACAACATAGTTGAAGTAGGTTTTAGTGTCCATCAAAAGGAAGTTAGACCAGGGACAAAATCCCTGCAAGGTCCAGGTAGATAAAATTCTCCCTCAAGCTGCTGTTTGCTGTCCAGTGTAAACACCAGCTTTTGTTTAAATCAAAGCAAAGAAATGCAGATCCTGAATATGCTAATGAGGTTCAGAATTTGCTGGAGAAACTCAACAGGTCTGGTAGCATCTGTGGAGAGTAAACAGAGTCAAGTCCAGTGACCCTTCTCCAGACTTGTCTGAAACATTAAGTCTGCTTTCTCTGCACGGATGCAGCCAGATGTGTGGAGTTTCTCTAGCTATTTCTGTTTTAGCATTCAATTTAAGCCTGAGATGTTGAAATAACACAGCAACACAAAATTGAGCAAAGATCCCATTCTGCCTCCCTATAGTATTAGATCCTGGTGAGTGGGCAAGTATTAAGAGAAAAACTGGTGTTGTGGAAGAATGATCACAAAACTACTTTTTAATTCAGCTACTTATTAAGAAACTGCACAGACAAATAACGAAACAATTATTTAAACTTTCTAGCAACCA